GCTGTCGTGAAGGTGCGATCAAAGGCTGCCTTAAAGGCTGGCAGGAATTCAAGCTTGGTGATGTGGTTGATGTGGTGGCGGATCAGAGCCTCAATCTCACGGCTGTACGCGCGCTTCAACGGCGAGAAGCAGCCAACGTCAAGCGGCTGCAGCAGATGAGATGAGTGAGGCGGCATACAGAGCGTGAAGATATTGTTCTCCTTGCAAAGCTCTTGAAATTCAAGAGAGTGGTGGCTCTCATGGCCATCAAGGACAAGCAGGCGACGCGCACCCACGCTACGAGTCTTCGTGTGAGCGTCGAAGTGCTTCAGCCACTCAACTCCAAGCTCGTTGTTCGTCCAGCCGTTGTCGCTGACTGCGATCGCCCAGTCGCGTGGGATCTCTGCCTCCTCGTACCAGGCAGACAAGTGGTATTGGCCAGCAAAGATGAGGAAGGGTGGGATTGTCCAGCCAGCAGCGTTGATCGCAGCGATAACTGTCACCTACTCGCGATTGCCAGGCTGAACAGCCTTTGGCCTGCCTCTCCTCTCTGACCCTGTCACAACAAGCTGAGTTGTGATCTTGCCCATCATAAAGCCAGCCTCGTCAAAGTTGTAGACGTCCTCGTCGCAGATGCTGTACTTGGCCTTTGTCTGCTCTACAAGCTCAAACCAGCTGCTGATTAAGGCAGGATCCTCACACAAGGCTCTCTGCCTATCGTACGCTCGATTGAAACGCGTTGTAAGCTTGTCTGATCGCTTAACAAAGTTGCGTGGCCAGTGGACGCCGACGTGACCAATACCGCGCGCAGCCAGCAGCTTATTAGCCATATCACGCACTGCTGCGTACGTAGGCGCAAAACCACGTTGATCCAGATCAAGTATATAGACTACAATTACCTCCTCTTCTAGCTCAGTAAGCTTCTTTAAGTTGGGTTGGCAATCGCGTCGTGCAGGCTTGCCAGCGCGTCGGTCGCGCATAGTCATACAAGGGACATTATAGACTACAGCAGCGCGGCTTTCAGACCTGATTTGCTGGGCTTTAATAGAATTAATAGCAAGCTGAATATCAGCTTCATTTAAAGGCGCTTGAGAAGCGTAGCGTGGAGCCATTGCACGTTGAGATGGAAGAGGTGATCAAAGTTGGTGGGGCTAACGACTCGCTTGTATCGACGACTCGCTTATAAAACACGTTAACTGCTTCTTCGTCAATAGAGGAACCAACAACTCGCGGAGATCTCAGCGTGCACTAGCTCTTTATTCCTCATCACTACTGAGCGCTGTGATGTATAGAGGTCCGCAAGCCCAACGACATAAGCTTGCATAGCTCCACAAGATAGGAAAGAATACCACATGCCAGACTCGACCTTGCACAAACGTAATATCGATGCGGCCATGACCCATCAAGATGGCTAAAGCTTCGCCCTGTCCTCCTTATTCAAAATAGGACCCACCCACCTCCCCCAGCTGCCCTCCACACTCCCCCTGTTAATTGGCATCTGCTCCACCCACCGCATAATGTTCTCATACACATTTCCATCACGCATGCCCAGCGCACTGCATAGGCTCGCATCCGAAAATCCCATGCGTCCGTCAGCGCGATAGCCTCGGGCAGTAACTGCTCCAACAGCTCGTTGACGAGGAAGCGTATGGTGTCGAGCTGAGACGTGTTGAGGTACGCTTCGCCCCAAGTATTGCTCTCGATGAAGTGCAGCGCATCGGTGGAGCGTGGATTGATGATGGTCGGGAGTGCGAAGAACGAGCGTACGCGCTCAAGCACTGTTTCCAAGGTGGGTGAGAACGGTGCTGGCGGTGAGTTGATGATGGCGTTAAAGGACTGGAGGACGACATACTCGATGTGGGCGCGTGATGCAGAAATGATGAGCATCATGTGCTCGTTCCAGGCTTCTGACTTTGGCTTCCTGGATGAGTGTACTAACCAGTGGGCTTTGGAGACTAGACGTTGGGCGCGGTGGCGGTAGATGGAGAGTTGGACGCTGGTATCGAGGAAGCGGCGATCTGTTGCTGAACAGGGTATTGACGGGCCTTCGGGAGCGAGGTACCGAACCTGCTCGTCTGCATCCTGGCCAGCTTGAATGGCGTCGACTTGCTTGAGGAGATAGCGGCCGAGCTGCTGCCACATCACGTGGTTCTCGCCTTCCAATGTGCAACCGCCTGCTGTTACGCCGATCAGGTCAGGCAGTCCGGAGATCGACATGAAGCCGTGTCCACCGCATAGCTTGCGCGCTTCTCCTGCACCGTCTGCCGCTTCGGATGTCACGTACGCCTTAAGACCAGCACATAACGCATGTACCGAAGCCAATGTTGAGTGATCTCCTCGATTCTGCCTGGCCTTCAGGTCTACATATTGTGCTTTGCAGTCCTGGCCTGCAAAGAACATCGCGTAGGACTTCGCAACCAGAGTCAGGGTGCGGAAGTGCTGCGACTTATATGACATCACTGAAGTCTCCGTATCTAGCGAGTTGTCTGGACCTAAGCCCTGCTCTCGAACCACTGAGTATCTTGTCGCAATTGTAACAGCTTGCGCAAGTTGCACAGCGAAGATGGCTGGCATCTTGCTACGGACGAGGAGCATGACCGAGTACGATAACTTGGCGCGGTTATAATCGGCGGTACAGGTGCCATCGCATTTGAGAGTGCTGTGACCCATGAGCATATAGGTTCTTGGTATGCGGACGTGTTCGAATGCCGCGTAGCCGTTGTCTTTTTCGTTGTAGCCTGATAGTGGTCAGTGGTGTGTTCATTGAGGAGGGCCTGCATACGTACGCCATCTTCAGACCAATGTCACCCATCTTGACACCTACTCGAGGCGTGCCGTCTTGCAGTGATCTGATCTGTACGATGAAGAGATGAGGACCTAGGCTCTTGTCGCCAACAATCAATTGTGCCATGACGACCGCATGTGTGATAGAGAAGCCCAACCCAGCAGGCCAGAACTTAGCAGATGAGGCTGTCGGCGAATCGATGACGAACTCATCGGTGACTCCATCGAAGGTAGCAGTGGTCTCGAGGTCACGAATGAATGATCCATGGCCGAGCTCTGTCTGGCAGTAAGTACCGAGGATCTTGCCGGATCTTGCGAGAGACAGCCATTTGGTCTTCTGCTCTTCGGTGCCGTTGTGTTCGATGGCTGGCTCGAAAAGGACTCCTTGATGACCGAAAGGACTTCCTTGGGTCAGTCCATGAACTCTCAGTGCGATCGTTCACCTCACCTAGCATTGATCAGATTGTAGCGAGGTGTGATCCAGATAAAGATGTCGTGGTCATGCTGCTGCAAATCTTCGAAGATGGCTTTGCCCATACGCAGTCTTTGCTCGTAGATACCTTCGCGAGCGGTATCTCAATAGCATTCTGGCAGCTTGGAGGTATCGTGCGTGCTGATGGTCTTCTCCACTCGACTGAATGCGTCGCGCCGCTTCTGTACAGTGGCTTTCCTGCTGGCGTCAGTCAAGCAGATGACAAGATTCCTGATCGACTCACCTTTTCCATAGTAGACAGGTAAGTTCAAAAGTGTCGACCGACCCCGCTCGAGCCTTGTTCATCAACGCTACCTGTCTGTTGGTGACACACTTGACTGAATTTTGATGCGAGTTTATCGTGTTGAACGGTCGCTGCAGGACCCCAAATTTGAAGCAGACCTGTGCTCAATAAAAATGATTGCCGTGGCTCATTTATCGACCTAATATTTTCGAGTGGTAAGAGCTTGCTGTGCCACATATTAATAGGCTCGATACCAATACCGTGCTTGAATATGACCTTCTCAAGTACCTCTGTGGAGCACCAGGGATTCTGTTACGTCCATATCCGGCAAGCCTTCTAAAGTTTAGCTGCGTCTCGATTTATCTCCATTTCTCATTAGCTCGGTCTTCGGCTCGGGGCATTTCTTGGACCCTAATGAAGACGTTGGCAGCATGAGGGTGACCTGAAGTGCAGGTCTGAGCTGCATTCAGCTGAGGAGGACGAGGCGTAGTTGTCTTGTTGCCATTCAGAGCGGGAGAGTTGTGCCGTGTCACCAAGGGCCGCCCTTGATATGATGCAGAAAGAGTCCCTATCGCTTGAGAACATTGTAGTCCAAAGATAGGAGTAAATTGTTTCGTCGACTCGGTATCGGAGACCATCGCGATAAGCCTGCCTTGAAGCCAGTAGTTGATCGCGATGCATCCAGCAAGTAAGCAAGAGAGGAAATCCATCTCCAGGGGATTCTCCATTGGAAACTGTTGCGGTGCGAGTCGGTCTGACAGCTTTGATCGTCACTTCTGTTGACTACCTTGGACTAGCACGTCTCAGGGCATGTATATATGGTCGCTTCCTAGCTAGCAAGCAACTCAGCGCAGTTTCCATCGACTATACAGCGGCTACGTCTGCCGCAACAGAAACTCCACTCGATCGAATTGCACCGGAAACGCATATGAGGCATGGAAAAGACGCTGAATGGCATAGTTGACATCAGGGTGGAGAAACGATAAACCTGATGTATCTTGAGAAGTGGACTTTTAGCTGCCGGATGCATGTGCGCGCGAGGAGGCACAATCCGGTGACGTTGATGTTTCTGAGAAGCACTGGAGACTTTTATGTGATTTCAAGTGTGTGTGTAGCCAGTCTATCGGGCAATAAAAGCGATAGATAGCCACTGAATCCTGAAAGCGACTGTCCGAGCATCCGACATCGCGTGTGATGGTGGTGCGCAATATCTTCAACTGCAGGAGAGCCAATGCCCGCGTGAAATAATTGGCGTCGCTGTAACTATACTGCACGCCGGGAGGATACTCGAGGTATATGATATCATTGCGTTGAGGGTATCAGCATCTTCGTAGCAGATCGAGCCGCGGAGCCGTGGAGAGCCGTTGTCATGCACGTCGTGTGTTTGTGGCCCGAGGCCTAGAATTTCTTGGCCACCAGGCTCCTTCCAATCAAGCTCGCTCTGCACGTGGCCGGTACCGGTAATCGCCGCGTTTGCTGCACGTCTTGCTCGATCATCAGCACCCCGACAATCCTATCTATACCGCTGCCATCTTATCAACGGCGTTGTCGACCACCAGTACGACGTTTATATGCTGCAAGAAAGGCGTTACCCGTGTTCAACATTGAGTGAGGCGCGCATGTGTTTTGTACTCAGCATTGACTAACGACTGGTTTGCGGCTCCCAGCAATTATCTGTGCCTCCCCTCTCTCCAAGAGCCACGATGCAAGGCACCTAGACTTCGATCGCAATGCTCGTGCCTGCCTCGAGATTCTTTCGGCAGAGAATGTCACTCGAATTTCAGGTTTAATGTGACGCATTTTGAGCTTTTGAGCGGAGACAACCTCCTTTGACAACGGTCTCACGGTCATCACAATGACGCAATTTTTAACCGGAAGCGCTGCCAACCTCGTATGACTAGTCCTGGTCAGACCATTCCCATTCGTCAACCAGTATCAACCGAGAGACGTGACACGATTGCACATGGGTGACGTGCAGTAAGCTTCAACAAGTTTCATCGCTTATCAGCACGTACCCTTGATCAAGCAATCAGTAAGTCTGAAGTCATGACCGGCTGAATTCGGACGGCTGGTAAGGTGCTCAAAAAAGTACCGGAACATCCGCAATGTGGGCGTCGTTGGCGTTTAGTAGTGAACTCTTCCACGACTGACAACCCACACCAACATGGCACCCGCGGAGCCGAATCATAAGCCATTCCAGGTACAGGGCGAACTGCCTACATTCGAGGAGGAGCGTGAAGGATGGAAGGGCTACATTGAGTGGGAAAGATATCCCGAGAAGAAGAGGAAGGCAGCGGATATCCTGGCGAAATACGACTTCCCTGTGGTCAGTGCTTAGGACTCATCGAATGTGCACGACAGAACGCTCACATGTGGCAGCCTCCAGAGTTCCAGTTCGAGCCGTTACCCAAGAGCAATCCTGTGCTGGAGGGAGTGCGCTGGAAGTGCGTCAACTTTGACTTGATGCAGTACGAAATACTTGCTTACTGCAAGTAGGCACTACCACTATGCCATGGGACCCACCATCAGCAACATGCCCGACATATCATGGGATTACGTTAAGAAAGAGAAGAGTGAGGACATGATCCACGTCCTACAGTTTCCATACAACGGCGAGCCACCGAGAGTAAGTGACATGCGCCATGACTTCAATATGGACGGGTACTGACAAGCCTGCAGAAACGCCTGGTTGAGGTACGCAAGCATCTGCGACAGACTCAAGCCTCTGGCTAACTAGTTCAGACCGAGATTACGAACAACCCCGACTTCTTCGTGCGCAATCACGGCGGCATCCCCGAAATTGACTCCAGCAAATACTACTTCGAAGTCGAGGGTCTTGTCAACGACCCCAAGAAAATCACCCTCGAACTACTCAAAGACGAATCCGTTTTCCCCCGCCAATCGACTGTCGCCAGTCTGCAGTGCTCCGGCACTCGCCGTATAGAGCAGATTCACGAGTACCCTGGTGATGGCGATGAGCTTATCAATGCTCCATGGGGTGAGGGCGCCATCGGTACTGCACGCTGGACCGGTGTGTCCTTGAAGAAGGTAATCAAATACTGCGGTGGATTGAAAGACGACGGTGCTCATCTCGAGTTCTTCGGCGCCGACACATATTTCAAGAAGGGAGAGGTGTACAACTATGCCGTCTCTGTCCCTGTTCGCAAGATGAAGATCAACGAGGTGTTGCTGGCGTGGGAGATGAACGATGAGCCCCTTCCCGCGATTCACGGTTTCCCTCTCCGTGTCGTGGTTATGGGATACATCGGCGCTCGCTCTTGCAAGTGGCTGACACGCATCAACGTCATCAACGCACCTTCTATGGCACCTGTTCAGATGAAGGAGTATCTGTACTACACTCCTCAGATGGGTAAGCAGAACGTCACGTACAGCAGCGGTTTCAGTATTCAGACCATGCCTGTCTCGTCTGCGATCATGACGCCTGTAAATAACGATGTCATCATTCACGATGGCACGATCACGTTTACTGGATGGGCTTTCAGCGGTAGCGGATGGCCTGAACGTGTCGAAGTCAGTAACGATGGCGGAGGTGTGTGGTATGAAGTGCCAGACGAGAATCTGAGTAAGAAGTACTTCCACGCCTGGAGAACCTGGTCGTTCGAATGTCCAGTTGATGCTGAGGGTTGGCTTGAATTTTGTGTCAGATGTTGGGACGATGCCCTGAACGTTAGTCTACCAATTTCTTCTAAATTATGAGTTGGAGATAACGCTGCCAGACACAACCCACCTACGTTCGCAGCGCGTGGAATTGGGACTTGCACGTCACTTCTTCCTGCCACCGCGTCAAGATCTACAGTGTCAACAAGTCGAGGCCAAACACTGCTAAACGACTCAAGCAGTTTGAGGAGAGGGGTCTACCGTTCTTGCCGCTCACGCGCCCTGTGCCTTTCGATCTCGAGACAGAGGAGGATTATCTCAAAGAAATGCAGAAGCGCGATGGTCGTGACCCCACCGAATAAAGAAACAGGGCAGTCCAGATGTAACAAACGATTGAAAGTGATGCGGCATGTAGCACAAGGTCTCCTTACGTATTCAAAATTGTATTCCAGCCTCATCAGCCATGCGGCATGACCACGAAGGGTTTCACTAACCCCATCACAATGCCTTCTGTATCATACTTTATCGGCCATTGCCGTTGTAAGCCAACAGGTTCGCCGAGCCCTGAGCATCAGTCACCCTGTTTGGGGTGGCCAGCTCCAGAACTCTCGCCTTAATAGCCGCCGCACTCGAGAGGCCCTCTAGACCTCGCAAGTAGCTCACAAGACCAGCAACGTGGGGTGATGCCATGGAAGTACCAGTCAAAGTAGCAACATCAGTGTCGGAGTTGAAGTAAGCTGAGACGACGCCAGTACCGGCAGCGAAGATATCGACAGCAGGGCCGAAGTTTGAGCCACCGGTACCACCCCGACGAGCATCATTACTCTGAACGTTACCAACACAGATAACCTCAGGCGAGCGAGCAGGCGAGCGGTTGGAAGCGAGCTGGTTCTCGTTACCAGATGCAACAACAGCAAGAACACCACGGTTCCATGCGGCTGTGATAGCCCGATCCCAAACAGTTGAGCCAGGACCACCGAGTGACATGTTGATAACAGCTGAGTTTTGGCGACCCTTGGACACAATATCGTTGACAGCCCAGTCGAAGCCAGCAATGACAGCAGAAGCAGTGCCCGAAATACCCTCGAAGACCTTGACTGCGATGAGAGTAGTTTGCTTAGCAACGCCATAGGTGGTTCCACCAACAGTGCCGGCAACGTGAGTTCCGTGGCCCTGGTTGTCGTTGTTGTCGCCGCCTACCGAGTTGAAGCCAAATTGTGCACGGCCGCCAAAGTCCTGGTGTGTGATTCTGATACCCGTGTCAACGACGTAGGAGAATGTACCACGGCCGGCAGTGTTATCGTAGATGTGGCTGGTAGCCCCTCGAGTGCGCGAGGAGATGCTGCCAAGTCCCCATGGAGCGTTGCTCTGAGTGACCAGCGCATTGGTAGTCATGATGTAATCTGCCACCACATCTAGGACCTGGGAGGTAGTCAGTATTGTGGGGTACGAAGCAGTGCTTGTGACATACCTCAGGCAGAGTCTTGAGCTCCTCGACAGTCGCAGCATCGAAAGCTCCAGAGTAACCCTTGAAGTCACCAAATTCAAATTCGCGTTCGACACCAGCCTCTTCCTCAGCAGCGGCATTGTCACGTCTGGCAAGATTGCGAGCGTGGATCCCACGGACGACGTTGTGATGAGCGGCGATAGAAGCAACATCGGCGTCCGGCTTGAGCTGGACGATGTACTTGCCAGGAATAATCTCATCGGCGGCCTGGCGTGCAGAGACAGGAGCAGCGCAGGCAAAGAAGGGTGTCACAGCAGCCGCAATGGCGACGGCGCGAGTGAAGAACTGCATGCTGAATGGGATGAGAGAAGATGAAGGAAATGATGAAGTTGATCTTTGTGATGACCTACAGGCTGAGGCTTCAGCGCAGATGTACTTATACAACTTGCACCACTTGGTATAGTCCCGGATTACTATGCCGTGATAGCAATACGAGCACACGAGCACCCCCAAGAGGTCCCATCGCGACGTCAAGCCTTGTCACTCTTGACTTCTGCCCCCTTCGGCAAGTTTCTGCACTTGTACTGAAGGCCAAGAATTGAGGGTGCAAGATCGACGCTGGAGTGGAGATGAACCCGTGACCGTTGATGCTCTGAACGTGATTGTATAGACTGAGTTTGGTGTAGGCCGCAAGGTCCAAAGCGACTGTCGGAGGATCTGTCCATGCAGTACCGGTAGGGCCAGCCGAAGCGTCTTGGTGCATAAATTTAAAGGTTTGCTCCTTCCCCTTCGAGCGCCTCTGCCGCTCGCTTGGGCATTTGCCGAGACCTTGTAGCAACTGCTTTTCAACTAAGGACTAGAAGATGATGGAGATGGTTGGCTCCTTTGTTTATTTGTTCATGCTGCATGAGTGGTCTTTGTTCGTCGAGACGATGAGATAGTTTCGCGACAGCGCCACTTGCCAGGGCCCTTCAGGCAGCGAAAGATCATCTCGTCGCACCCCATCAGCCACATGCCGATCAGTTCTACACGTACATCAGGATGCCGCAGATCCCCCATCGGGTACGTTCATAGGCACTGGGTAGTAGACGGAATGTAGCGCATCTCGCGTCGCAGGCTTTGATTAGCCAGTTTGTAGACAGATAGACAAAGATCAACGTTGAGCTAAGCTTCGCACGGTGTGCAGCTGAGGGGCGCACAGTTCAAGCCCGGCTGTTAGCGTTCAGCCACAATATCAAGACGAGCACCCGGCCGGCGCTCCGATCGATGGCGCTGGCCGGTCGACAGACGTCGGCAGTCAACCTGTGTGCACTGTCCCACCAACACACTTCACACATCGCGAACAAGGACTACCAAGACCTTAGCAGTAGGTATGGCGCTCTTTGTGGCAGCATTGACCTTCCTATCTCTGCGTACTGGGTGGCAGCTTATCGCATTTGTTGCAGCGCAGGTTTTGGCCGGTGTGCCTCCTTCCAAGCTGATGGACATCACCAACGCGCCTGCGAGTCTTGGTACCTAGGGCGAAATTGTTCATCGCGCTATTGTGCGTCAAGTTTTCCATACCTTCTTCCCCAACTCAATATCTCACGGCATTTTACTATCACTCATTTTTACTTCGTCAAGCTGTGTTTCGGCTACAGTGACTGCGCTGCGCCACCTCAGTGTGCACATATGCGTCAGACACGATCATGCGCGTAGAAGCGCAGAATGGTGCGTGTAGTAGTCTCTGCAATAGAACGAGAGAACGGAGATATAGAACATAAATACGCTCACTTGCCTTCCGGGTCGACACAAGGCGACAACGAAGAGCTCCTGACCGTAGTCATCAGGACAACCAAGGCCAAGTTACGACCCTGGCTCCTTTTTCCATTTCTCATAAAGATCTATGTTGTTCGTAACGATCACTGGGAATCGAGGCTTGTGTGTGACATCGAAGCCGGTGGCGCAAATAATTGTATCGACCTTGCGTTTGACGCCGTCACCGCCAATGACTCCGTCTTCGTTTATCGCCTCAACCGCCGTGAAGTGCACATCGACGTTTTCATTCTGGATGGCTTCTATTTGTGCGATGCGGCGGCCTGTTCTTGGTCAAATCGATTAATGTGCGGAAGGCGGATGTGCAACTTACAGCCAAATTCAAACTTTGGTGTGAAGCCCTGCAAAAGTCGCTCATCTTTGAGGAACTCCTTCATTCTTTCCCTGAACATCTTTTGTGCAGCATTCTGTCCTTCACTGCCAGCATAGAAAGCACCCCATAATCCGTTGACCTAGTTTTCGATGTCCTTACGGTAGTGTGTGCCACTAACTTCTGAGGATCTTTGCGGAACTCATTCCGCTCCTCTTGTAAGTAGTCCTTGTTTTGTCCGTAGTTGTTCGCAATCTGGACAGACTAGACACCGGTCCGCACAAAGATGTTGAGATGTTTAGCATGTGGCTGCATCTTGGGCACTGTCCGAATTGAAGACGCGCCTGATCCGATGATTGCGACGCGGTCGCTCTTCCACTTGCCATCTTGGTACTCTTCCGGCCAGACTGCAGTGTACACGATGCGGCCCTTGAACTTCTCCATGCCCTTAATCTGCGGCTACTTGTAGTTGTTCAGGATGTTGGTCGCGTACAACAACAAGTCGCACTCTTCGTCCCACTCTTTGGTTTCACTGGAAGGGAATTCCTGCCTCAGAGAAAATTTCCACTAACCCTTCTCGTCTTGCCATTCAGAGCGTACAACTTCTGTATTGAAGGTCATGTACTTGCGCAACTCGAATACCTCGACTACCTTCAAGAGGTACTTCTGGATATCTGGTGCGTAAGAGAAGAAGCGTGGCCAGTCCGGGTTCAAGGCGAAGTTGAGAGTGTAAGCATGTGAGGGAACATTGCAAGCGCAGACTCGATATCGATTCTCCAGCCAGCTGTCGCCAATATCTGCGTTCTTCCCGTAGATGACATGCTCGACGTCCTTACAGTGCTTTTGGATCTGGTAGACCAGCTGGATACCAGACAGTCCAGCCTCGATGGTCAAGACCCTCAGCTTCCCGGTGGAAAGATCCCGTTCTGTATGTCAACATGTACTCTATAAAGATGTGGCAGTAACACTCACACTATAGACGATGTCTGGAATATTATAGCCACTCAAGCCTGGCGTAGAATAGTCCCACCTTTCACTCTTGCTGACTGCGTTGAGATCTGGTGTCATGATAAAATGCTCGAGATTGGTATGAGTCATGAAAGATTAGCAAGACGCTCTTTGTAGCACAGTCTAGTCAAGTGCATTCACTGATTATCGTACAGCCCCACTCTAACCTGACTGTGTCATTCAGTGCCAAAGACGTTAGACGTATGAAATGCCGACTTCCGGCTTATCATTGATTATTTGCAGCAGCGGCTAGAGAACAGTTTTGATAATCCACGAATCTGGACAGTACAGATGAATGATGAGAAGTAAATACATCTGTTGTCGAGATGAAGCCTGTGCTTGTAGTACTGGGGCTAATTCAATCTTGTGGCCAAGTCTCGCTGTATTGGGAAAGTTTTTCCGCTGTCAAAATTGGGAAATCGTGGCATTGTACTGTGGGGCGACAGTCTAAATGGTAGGCCTGCAACGCCTGCAACGGTCATACAACGTTCGTACAATGATCAGCCAACGTTCAGCGAATCTGCACGCTTCCTCTTCTCCTTCATCAACCTCTTTAAAACTGTTGCGGTGCAAGTCGGTCCGACAGGCCTTGATCGTCACCTCTATTGACTACTTTGGACTAGCACGTCTCAGGGCATGTATATATGGTCGCCTCCTAGATAGCAAGCAACTCAGCGCAGTTTCGATCAACTATACAGCGGCTACGTCTGCCGCAACAAAAACGCTTCTATTAGGTACTCCTCACGCAGTTCAAGTATCTTTACTAACTACTACTAGTTATTTACTATGCTGATTCCTATGCCTCCTAGCACTCTACCAGAGGTCTATTGGGTTATCTGTCTTTGCGTAGTCTAGACTAACGTATTTTACAAGCATTTGGACTGTGTGCTCACCTCACCACGTGAGACAGGCGCGACAAGCAAGCACGCCTGCGGCACCAGCATAGCACACAATGCACACCATCACAGTCCATTTAGATCTTAAAATCATCTGCATACATCCTACAAGTTAATCTGCAGACCCAAAGTGGCGTTCATGACAGCCTTTCCGTAGAAGGGCTCGGTACCGGCGTTGCCAACGTTGACGTAGGTGCTATCCTTAAAGACGCCGATCTTGACAAGCGCATCCAACCAGTACTTGATGTCACCACTGAAAGTGCCAGTGAACTGCTTATCAGGCAGCAGACTGCTCACAGTGATACCAGTGTCATCGTTCTTGCCCTGATACAGCTTCCAACTGGTGCCATACAAGTCGCTAATAGTAGCCTTAGGACCGGCAGTCCAGCCGATAGGAAGCTGACCGCCTGTGTACTCGAGCCATAGCATTAACTCTTGGGCGTTGGTGGATGTAGAGTCGCCCTTGGTGTCCGAAGTCATGAAGTCGAAACAGATGTTTCCTTTGTAGGCAGTGGTGTTCGTGCGAGTCCAGTCGTAGGTGCTTGGGATGGACTTGATGGCCGAAAGCTTGGTCTCGAGGTTTTGCGTAAGGCCAATGAACGAGTAACCCTTAGGAATGTTATCGCTGCTTCTTGTTAGTATGCGTGCGTGCGGACGGTTGTGGGCGTCTGGTCTTACGTCGATTTGACATAGTCGATGTTGGAGACAGCGCCCCAGGTGATCTTCTTGTTGCCATCTGATCCTGTTGCAACATGGTCATAGTTGGTGCACTGGGTTCCGACTGTCAAAGCCTGATTGTACATCATGTTGTAAACAATCCAGGGAGTATCGGTCAGAACAACGCTATCGGAAACGCCACAGAGCGATGTTGGCTTCTGCTTCGTAGTATCCGAGATGACCATTGGCTGAGGCGCTGGCAGCGCAAGGATCGGGGCGACCAGCGCCAACGAAAGGAGAGCGTTGGTGAACATTGCTGCAGGAGTTAAAACAAACGAGTGTGTGAAAGGAACGTGACAATGTGGGAGGAAGCTGTTTGGGAAACGAAGCTTTTGACAATCCTTGAGAGGCATGGATCAAGCGAGTAATGACAGTGGCGCTCATACATCAATTCCCCCTGTTCGGACGCCTAGTGTCTTTATTGAAGTCAACCCTGTGCTGGTCTTCTGAGTGATTAGCTAGCCCTTTACGTACCCACAGGGGACCTGCGCACTCTTGCAGGCTAGACACACAGGGCCTCTTAGGAATCCTGAAGAGCTCGCGCACGTACGAATGAGACCTACAATGGCTGTACGCCGGCTCACATACTGGCCAAAAATCGCGCTAGGCATCGCACAGGGGGAAGGATGTAAGCGAGATGTGAATCATTTCCCCGAGTGCGGGCTGCGGTACGCTGAAACGCGCTACAATCAAGATCGAACCCTGCCGTGGACGTCCAGAACTCAGTCATTTGCTATACCAGCATAGAGCCGCATCTCCCGCTCTTCGATGGCGAACGTCCCGCGCAGCTGTGGGTGGTGTGTTGGGAGGCGGACCTTACCACCGTACGTCACTGCATCAGCTCGTTTGCCTGCAGACCCTCCCTTAATGCGTCTCTTGCACTCTTCCAGACTGCATCCTCTTCCCATGCCAACTTGTATGATCTCCACTCAACCCAGTCCTCAGCCCTAACGTTATGGCCATCGTGGTCAAGCAAACCCGCAGCAATATCCACCACGTGGGACCTCTCGCTGCTAACGTAGCTCACTGCGGCTCCACATTTTCCGCAGAACGATCGATATACGCCGGCTGAACTACTGTATACCTCCACGGTACCGAATTTGCCGTCCGCCGGATACGGTGAACCATCTGGCAAAATGATCTTGTCGCGTGAGGGAAAGATCCAAGAGATGACCCAAGTCGAGATCGTCAGTCGGCATGAGGTACATACATCGTGTATCCCAAGCCATTTGTCCTTGTGTTTGCGAACGTTATCTTCATCGATTTCGGTGAAGGTCTCATCGCCGTTGGGCCTCGAGACGTAGAATTCGATACCACCGCAATGACAACGAGCGTGTAGGCGGTCTGGCTCTTCTTTCGCGGGCCTTACGGCTGCAGGTCGATCTGCTGGGTGCCATGGAGCGCTCTTGCCCGCCCAAGTGTCCCACAGTCCTACCTCTATCCCGCCGATCTGTTGCAGAAGAGTAGCGAGTCCTCCGTCACCCGTGCTTCCAACAAATACATGGCCGGCAAAGTTCCACACCTCTTCCTCTGCATCGACTGATGGCGCCGAGACAAACCACTTCGTGACATTGCCAAGCTGAAAAGAGCCCAGGCTGTGTGCTCCACACGTCGAGCAGAAATAGCGTGTCAGATGCTCGGAACTCTTGTATACTGTCAAAGTCGAAAAATTGACGACAGGCTCAGGAATGATGGCGCCTGCCGTGCTGAGCGTACCAGTAGAATGACGACAGATGCTGCAGTGGCAAAAGTGTACCGGTAGAGGCAGGTCGGACATACTGACCTCGAACGAGAAGGTCGATGCACGACAGTGACATGTCGCATAGAAAACTCGTGTCGCAACACTTGGTTCTTTGGCTGAAGACATCGCTGATGACAGACCGTTGTTGATCCTTCAAAAACGTGGGGTTTCCAAGGTTGTGTTGTCTTGGGCGCGAGACCCCGCATGTCAGCTGTGGAAGTCATTTTCGCTTTGCTCGCATTGAGCGGACCGCGTAGCTGCTCCGCTAAGCATTACTGTGGAAGGTGGCGTTTCGCGGAATCTCGATACAGCGCGTTGCCTAGGTAGTGTTTTTGAGAAAAGTGCAACGCGTCGGGGTCACAATCTCTTCTAGGGCTGACAGAGAGCTGACTCGTCACGCCAGCCTTCTCATCGGTACGTGGAATTCACGTCATAGTGAGCAGCGCAATACTTTGGACTGCATATTACCTCGAAGTGAGCACGACTCGACGTGTCAGACCACCAAGTTACTTACCATATTCACCAAGTGCAGCAAGCACCCAACACAGATTCGTCAGAATGACTTCCTCATCCCTCAACTACCCTCTCCTCTCGATTCCGGCGTACTACATCTTCTCCATTATTCCCCACGTGTACGCAAGCTCGATCCTCAGCTCCGCCGGCTACAACCTCAACAACGCAAACCCCAAGGCCTCGTTGTCTCCAGTTGCAGTAAAAGGCAAGGTGCCCGACGAGGTCTTCCAGAGATACCAGCGCGCCGAGAACGCACAGAGTAACAACATCGAGCAGCTTCCGCTGTACGCTACGGCCGTATTGGCCAGCATCATTGCTGAGAGAGTCACCGCGAGAGGTCTGGGTAATGCGGCCGTCGGCGATGATGCCACTGGCTTGGCCTTCTTCATCTGCGCGTTCATGGCTGTTCGGTGAGTCGGTTGAAACACTGTTTCAATTTTTTTGAGATGGCTAACAAACCACAGTGCTGCCTACATTGTCTCCTACATCAATATTGCGGACCACAGCAAGAGCTTCATCCGCAGTATGTTCTGGGCCACCGGCGCTGCTTTGTCGGGCTACCAGATCTATAAGGCTGCCGCACTTCTCGGCTGAGTACTTGGTCAAGAACATTAAATAGCAATTGCACGATACGAGCGTGGAAGAGTACGAATCAATATAACGAACATCAGTTTTGACGCCCGTGCTATAAATTTGCAGTGAGACATGGGATGTGAGCGCTCTCGATCTCAATGACAGCGTGCTGAATGAAATCAGCGGTTCTAAGCCCGAGGAGCTATCGATCACGTTTAAGGCAACGACGAGCTTGTGTCAAGCCTCCAGAATCTCTCGGAATACCGCAGGATCGACCATCTTCTCGTTCTTATAATTCTCGTCCCAGCCACGAACTCTGTCTAGGGTCGGCACGGAGTGAGCGAGGAAGCAACCTTGTGCTTGCCAGGATCTCGTTTGGAGTGGTCAGAATACGAATCTATGACTCACAGTGTATCTGGACATCCTCTAATCGTACTTTCGACGTGCATCTTGTCGCGCATCCTGGACCTTTTGTCACCCGAAGGATTATCTGCGCTGAAGAAGTACTCACTAATATCTCTCTGACCATCGAACGCTCGAGACCCTCTGAAGCGGTCTGCGGTCTCTACTGTGATCACAACCAATGCAGGTCCATCCGCCATGATCTATATTGTTAACCTGGAGATGGATAGCCGGCCGTGTACGCTGAAGCTTACGCAGAATTTTGCACATATAACGAAGGTCCTCTTAACGTGCTGATCTGGATGAAAGCAACCGTAAGAAAGATTTCGTGCCGCTGTCTTGCATGACATGTTGGATATTCAGCTCGCTTACCGGTAGGTGCGAGAGTGTCGTTAACATCGAGAATCGCAAAACCAGCACCGAGCTGTTGTGAGTCTATTCAGCTCGCACAACACACGCATTGAGGACCGTACCAGCAGTAATAGATATGTCGAGAGATGTTAGTATAGTAGCTGTAGTCTGCTCAGGATGAATCATGCCTTGGGAGCTGCATGCCAGTTTCTTCCACCGCCCTCACCGTCTCACCACCTATCTAGCTCGCGCAACTGCTTGGGTATTGAGGGAGCTGGCGATGTGGTGCTGAGACTAAGTCCGGACTCGATTTTGGCACAAAGTGACAGCTGTGAGTGACTGCACTCGTTGCAGAACGCGTGTGTAATGTATTGCTCCATCACGCGCGTGTATTGAAAAACGGCATGTGCGAGCAGTGAGGAAGGAGCAACGATAAGCTACAGGTACTTCTTTGCTTGCATTGCTAGAGCCTCGATGTGACTAATACGCGTCGGAGTACAGGTAAAAGTATTGCATGCATCGTTCAACCCTAGTTTGCTCCCTTTTCCAGGACACAAAACGCCCGTGCTTTCTCTATTGCTTTCTAGTACTGAGTCGGTAGACATCCTAGGGCATCGACTGATGGATCTTGCCTCACGAAGCTCCTCACAGGTTGGCTTCACGTCATCGACTGTAAACGTCTGTCCGGGCTTGTGTTTGTAAACGAGTTCCCATGTCGTCTGTGAGTCCTGGAACATGATGCTGAGCGAGTGCCCGGTATCTTCGATCTGCTGAAAGATGTCTTCAGTGATCCGAAGCTCGTTGTAGAACCCGTCCCACACGCCATCTGACTGAGTGAAGAAGCTGAGTTTGTGACAGGGGGCAGTTGGACCGCCGCAATTCGAGCAATCAAATTTCCAAGGACGAGTCGGTATGCGAACAGTGATCTTGGCGTCTTGGCGAAGTGAGGATAGGGCAGACAGACCCTTCCACGTCTTGTCCTCCTCCCTAGTCCGTAAGTCGGACCGAATTGTAAGATCCAACCATTCTTTTCAGTCCAGAAATATATCAATGCTCTTGATGCGGTAGGCCGGACGGAGCCCAAGGCCCCATCTATCACTCGTGAAAAAATCGTTCAAGTCACCGTGTGCACTCTGTATCGTGAAGGGACGCCGGTACCAAGCCATCGCAATCTCTTGTGATACTACCTGTCCGGCAGACTTCTCCGAAAAGATGTCGTGATTCAGTTGCACACCCTCGTCAGGGGTCTTTGGGATGGCGGAACTGCTGCGCTTGAAACAGAAGCGACCGGGCTCAGGACTGTTGGTTCCTGACGTGACATTGTTCTGGGAACCAAGGATCATATTATATATCACATCTCGAAGCTCTCGTGGTAGCATATGACGCATCTGCTTGCAGGTCGCTCTAAGCCAGGCGTCTCGGAATGTTTTGCGAAGTTCGTGTTCGTATGGCTTGTGTAGGTTGCGTTGCGCCTGATCGTGAGCGGGATTCCAAATGGCTGTCTGACGGAGGAGATGCTTGTACTGGGCGCGTCGGTCTTGAGCTGACAGGGTGGTGCCAGTGAGGGGAATGTCTCTTGCTAGGTCATCGTATTGCTGCTTTGCTGCTGAAAGTGCAGCGTTGAGAGCGTATCCGTCTTCAATTGCGCCACAAAAATGCAGTCAGCAGGATTGTATCAGACATTGCTTGCTTTAACACCTACGTGACCAGATGAAGGCGTGCATTATCGGCCTTGGTCGCGACTTGATACCCTAGAAGTGTTTCCAACCAGCGCGGCATGGTGAGCATAAAGGGAATATCTTGGATCCAGGTAGCGTCGCAGTACTTATGTGGAGCAGTCTTGAAGCATGGTAGCCCGTTGGACACGTGGAAGAGAAAGTGCAGAAAGGGCTTTACCCAGACGCAAATATGCACCCCCTGACTGAGCCTTCGAGCACAAGTACAAACTACAATCTAGTCATCTCAAGTTTGCCAAACCAAAACGTGAGCTTGCGATATCACGCGCCACTGTCGCTCGCACCAGAAGGCCCGCTCGATCCGTGAAACCACAGGCAGGCGTGACAGGCAAGTTTGCAAACTCTCCATCAAACGAACAGACAAAGAATCCCACATAGCTCAGTAGCGACATTCTCTCGACTCCTCTTCTACGATGCGCTTGTTCAAATACAACATCTCCAGTGGTGATGCATCTGCTGGTAGAACCACCCAGCGGTAGGCGATATAGTAGCTCTGCTCACTTTCGTCGGCAGAGGGAGTAACAGACTGCATCAGTGGCAGCTTTGAACACTCCACGGGGAACAAGACGTGTCCATGTATCGAATATACCCCACTTCCTCTTCCACCGTTCACCTGCCACTTCCTCTTCCACCGTCCACCTGCCACTTCCTCTTCCACCATCCACCTGCCACTTCCTCTTCCACCGTTCACCTGCCACTTCCTCTTCCACCGTCCACCTGCCACTTCCTCTTCCACCCGTCCACCTGTCCCAGCGTATGCATGGGCTTGCTCTCATGTCAGTCTGGTGGGATCAAACCGTGGCTCTGCTCAAGACACAGTACTGTGACACCAGTTGTCGTTCCTCGATAGGCACAAAAGGAAGAGTTGGCACTGGACAGAATGTTGTCACGAGTAGAGCGGTTCGCCTGCTCGTTGCGAACCGCTGTGGCATACCAGGCGTCAAGACTGAATTGGATATGGCAGGCCCTGTATCCTGAAGTGGGCAGACGGGGAGGGTTAGGGATGTGCTTGAGACGCTAGGCGGCACTCTGCTGTGCTGTGTGTACGCGTGAGACATGGGGTATCTAGAGTGCTGGGTCGTGGTTGGTCTCTGCACCGTACTCGTGCAAGCAGCACGACATTGTATTGACGAACGTCACTGGTTGAGACGGCATGACGCATGCGTGTCGTGGCTGTGGTGGCTGTCCTGGCTGTCCTGGCTGTCCTGGCTGTCCTGGCTGTCGCTGCAGGACCCTGGATCCAAAACCGGAAAGCTTTCCACGGCGACGCCTGCAGCAGCAGTCTGCAGCAGCCTGGCACGCGCGACAGGTGTGCCAGCAGTTCTGTCGAGCCCACGTCGAAGCCCACGGCATGCAATGTGTGCTGTCAGCTCAGAGGTCATCTCCACCTCCGCGTATTGACATCAACGTGGCGCCGGCGCACCCCTGACTACGAAGGTACCGGCAGCTGTCCCGAAATGGCTGCGGAGGGTTCGAGCACCTCCGCTAGTGACGCTGCCAGCAGCAAAGTCGCTGCGAATATCGCGAGAGCGCCCGCCAGCCCGCAGCAGGCGTCGTTGCCGCCTCCCTCGTCGCCCTCGTCGCCCTCGTTGCCCTCGTCGGCTCTCCGCCGCAAAATGGCCTCGCTGCCCAAGAAGGACCCTGTGCCGCCACGTCGACCGGCTGCGGTGAGCGCGACCGCAGCCTCGGCCGCCCGCCGACCCGCCGCCGCGTCGTCGACAACAAACACGACCACGCGCCCACCGAGCAGCGCGTCGAAGCCCCTCGCTGGCTCAGCCTCGCGCCTCGCAGGCTCTGGGTCGAGTCTGAGCAAGCCGCCGACGCGTGCACCCGCAGGCACAGCAGCGCGGCGCCCTGCGCTCGCGGCGAGAGCCGCGGCAGGCGACGCAGAGCCCGACCGCGCCTCGGTGACCTCGGGGGACGAGAACAAGAAGCCCGCCGTGCGCAGGAGCATTGTTGGCGGGGCTGCTGCAAACGGGCGAGCTACGCCGTCCGAGCGCAGGTCGACGATTGCGCCTGCCGCGACCGCTGTGAAGCGCCCGTCGACGACGTCCCGGCCTGGCGCTGAGAGCTCGACCGCGCGAGCAGCACCGCGCGCCTCTCTGCCCGCGTCCACTCCGGCGAAGCCCGCAGTCTCGCGGGCTTCGATCAGCACACGGACCCCGCACCACGTGGTGCCAAAGGCGCCCGTCTCGACCATCACCCCGAGGACGCCCGTGGCGCACGCAAAGAAGCTCTCGGTCAACTCGGTTTCCTCGCCCACCAAAGCATCGCCAGCAAAAGCACTCACGTACGTGGGTCCACCCTGCTCCAGCAATTCCTGCTAACGCCCGCTCTAGGTATAGCCCCATCGACGTTCCTCCGAGAAGCTATGGCCCACTCAAGGACAAAGCTGCATCCGACGCCGAAGTCGAAGTCAGGAAGACGATCCCGTTCGGTCCCCTCAAGGCCGGCCTGCCGAAAGTTGGAGAGGAGGACAGACGGCCCGGCACTGCTCCTAGTGGGCCCGCAGAGGTCGACGAGGAGAGCAGGCGCCGCAGCCTGGCCGTGATGCAGGATTTTTTCAAGGAGACCAGTCTACGCGAGAAGCTCCAGGAAGAGCGCGAAGACCTCAACCGCGAGGTCGCCCGCTTGCAGGGCACCAACACGAAGCTGAGGAAGCAGCTGGTCGATGCCCAGGCTGCCATTGCCGAGAAGGAGGAGGCTGCTGCCGCCGCAGGCACAGACGCCACTGGCTGGGACGAGAACAAGCACAGGACCATTGTCGATGGCATGGAGAAGAAGTTTGCGCTCGAGACGAAGTTGCTGGAAGAGCAGAAGCAGAAGCTGGGAGAGGAGAAGCGCGTGGCGCAGGAAAAGGAGGCTGTAGAGGCTGCAAAGGCCGCCGAGCTGCAGCAGGTGCTCGACGACCTCAACGTGGAGCTCGAGCGCCAGGGCCGCGAGTGGGACGGCGAGAAACTGCAGCTGGTGGAACAGGGTGCTCAGATTGAGGCGCTCACCAAGGACGTGACGACCCTAAGGGCAGACCGTGACGCTCTCTCTGCCGATCTAGCAGACGCCAACGACACACTCGCAAGCCTGCAGACCAAGCTGTCAGCCCTCGAGGAGAGCCATCTGGCCGAAGTGCAGGACCGAGATGGCAAGATTGGCAGCTTGACCAAGACTGTAGACACGTTGCGCTCAGAGGTCACCGACGCCGAAAAGCGACACAGTGACGCCTCGGAGGCAGCCAAGCGATCACTCGAGTCGAACTCGTCCGAGTCATCGAAGCTCGCCGAGGAGCTGCAGGAGAAGATAGCTTTAATGCAACAACAGCACACCGACCAACTCCGCGAGAAGGACGAGACAATCGCGTCGCACGCCCAGACCGAGAAGGAGCTGCGGGGCGATATTGAAGAGCTGCAGCAGCGAGCCGACCAGACCGCCGCCGACCTCGAGAGCGAACGCAATACACACGCGGAGGACCTGAAGACGAAGATCGCCGCGATCCAGGAGAGCAGCCAGAATGAGGTCAGTGCGAAGGAGGCAGACATTTCCGGTCACCTCAAGTCCATCGAAGACTTGCAGAACCAGATTGCGACGTTTCAGCAAGGAGAGACGGACGGCGCTAGGGTGTCGCAGGAGCTCACCAAGCAGATTCAACATGCCAAGACGGCTCACGAGGATGCGATCAGGCTCAAGACCGAGCAGAACGAAGAGCTCGTTCAGCAGTTGGAGGCCATCAACGACCAGCTCAGCTCTGATGCTACTGAGATTGAGCAGTTGAAGCAGGAAGCGGATGGCTTGCGCAAGACTGTCGATTCGCTCCAGCAGGCATCCCAGCAGGACAAGACGCAGCACGAGACGGCTCTCGAGAAGCTGCGGACCGAGGTTGCCGAAGCGAAGAAGAAGGCGGAGTCCTACAAGAGCGATCTGGACGCTGCTCAGGACAGGCATAGGCAAGATCTTCGTGTTCTTGGCGAAGACCATGACGCTGAAATCGATTCGCTTCGCGCTGATCTGGAAGGAGATGCGAAGAAGCGCCTCGACAAGCTGCAAGATGAGTACCACGCTCTTGTCGCCGACAAGAACACCGCCCTCAAAGGACACGAGAAGAGCCTGGCAGACAGACTCAAGCAGCTTGATGAGGCGCAGAAGAATATCGCTGCATTGAAGGAGAGCTCGGGATCCACTTCGCAAGGCCTCGATGAGGCAAACGCCAAGCACAAGCAGGTGCTCGAAGAGAAGAAGGCGCTGGCCGAAGCCCACTTTACAGCGCAGAAGCAGGTCGCTGACCTAGAAGCCCGTGTTGAGACTTTGACGAAGGAGAATGAGCTGATTGCCGACTTGCAGGCACGGCTGGACGCGTCGACAGAAGATAAGCAAGCTGCGAACGAAGCCCTCGCAGCGTCGGAGAGGTCGTTTACTGACCTCCAGGCTAAGCTCAAAGCCATGACGATGGAAAACACTTTGATCGGGGAACTTCAAGCACGACTCGATGCGTCAATCGAAGAGAAGCAGGCCGCGGACGAAGCGCTTGCAGCCTCGGAGAAGTCATTGACCGATCTCAAGGCCAAGCTTGATGCTCTGGCCAAGGAGAACGAGCAGATTGTCGACCTGCAAGCACGACTGGATGCGTTGACAGAAGAAAAGCAGGCTGCCAATCAAGCTCTCGCCGCTTCTGAGAAGACGCTTGCCGAACTCCAGGCCAAGCTTGACGCCCTCACGCAAGAGAAGGAAGCTGCGGACGAAGACGGCTCCAAGGCTGAAAAGGCACTTGCCGAGGTCCGAAGTCATCTTGAAAACGCGATCCAAGAGAAGGAAGCCTCAATCCAGGACAGGGAAGCCCTTGAACAAGAACGCACGGACTTGCAGAAGACTATTGCTGATTTGACGATGCGTTACGATACCCTCTGCAAAGAGAAGACTGAGATGGAAGAACAGCATTCTCGAATCGTTGAGGGCATGAAGCAAAACTCCGAGAGCACTACGAAGAAGATTCTCGATGAACTTCAGTCAAAGTATGACACTCTGCTCACGGAGAAGAGGCATACCGACAACACGCACGCAGCGGAGGTTGGAGACATCCAGGCCAGATGCGAAGCTCTGGTTAAGCAACTTGCAGAAGTCGAGGAGAAGTTGGAAGAGAACAAGGCCGCACAGACAGCGGCAGAGAAGACTCATGCGGAGGCACTCAACAAGGCAGTCGATGCGCAGCGTCAAGAGGTTGAGCGAAAGTACACGGCATTCCTCGAGGAGGCACATGCTGATGTCACAAAGCTTGAGGAAGAACACAAGGCAGCTTTGTCGGAGAAGCAATCAACACTTGAACATCTCGAAAACGTCAAGAAAGAGCTGAACACCCAGATCGATGAGCTCAGGCACGAGCTTGAAGAGAAGGAGCAGATCGACTCGGAAGGGCTGGTCGAGGTCAGCAAGAAATACGAGATGCTGCTCGCTGAGCAGGCTGCGGCGGACAAAGATGAGCGCGAAGCGGCCATTGCCGATCTACAGAAGGAACTCCATGCCGCTAGAGAGGAGCTTGAACGAAAGGAACACTCTGACTCCGCGGGCTTGGCTGAGGTGACTGAAAAGTACGAGTCGCTCCTGGCTGAGCAAGCTGCCGCCGACAAGCGGGACCACGAGGCTGAATTGGCTTTGTTGAGAGACTCTGCGGATACCGACCTCAACGAGACGAAGGAGCGATACGAAGCGCGTATCGCCGAGAAGGATTCACTCAAGGATGAATTTGAGCGCGCGAGGGACGATGCAATCACAGAGATCGATGAGCTCAGGCGCGAGCTGGGGGCGAGAGAGGAGTCACGCGCAGCTGAGATGGCCGAGATCAGCAAGAAACACGACTCGCTCCTTGCAGAGAAGAAGGCTGCTGATGAAGCACATGAGGCTGCATTCACCGAACTGAAGCAGTCACTTGAGAGTGAAGGTGAGCAGGCAATTGGTGAACTGCGCTCCCAGAACAGCGCATTACAAGAGCAGTTCATCAAGATGGACGGCGAGCACCAGCAGACTCTCGATCAGCTGAAGAGGGAGTTGGAGGCTGATCACAGTACGAATGCAGACGCGCTGCGACAGCAGCTCGAGTCCGTTCAGAAGCAGCTCGAGTCCGTTCAGAAGCAGCACGCTGAAGCCACTGAGCAGATGGTGAAGGCACACGAGGGCGCTATCTCCGAGCTCACGATCGGCATGCAAAACAGCACGGCTGATGCAGTCCGGCAGCTGCAGAAGAAATACGACTCGCTAGAGGCAGAGCTCGAGGCTGGAAAAGTTAGCCACGCCGCCGAGCTCGAAGCTATCCAGCGCGACAGCGCAGAACAGCAGGCCCTTTGCAACGACCTGCAAACACGACTTGACAAAATGGTCGTCGAGCTCGAAGCGTCGTCGGAGGACGTAAAGCGGCTGCAAGAAACCATCGAAGCCATTGAAACCGAGCGCGACCGCGCCTACAAAGCCGCCGAGGAAGCCGAGGATAGGATCGAGACCTTCAAAGGCGAAGTCGTTAGGAAGCACCTCGCCCGCGTCGAGCCCTTGCAGAAGGAAAACAGTGCTCTTCTCAACAAGATCGACCGCCTCCAGGACATGCTCGCAGCCGGTGATAGAATCGCCCGCGCCGCTGCCAGCATGGGCGAGAAGCGCGAGATGAGCACCTTGGCAGAAGAATCCGAAGACGAGGGCAGCTCGGCGTCTGCTGGGTCTGGTTCTTCGGGGCCGCCTGTGCCTCCGAAGGCTCCCCTTCCTTTGATGAAAGGGTCTGCCAAGGATGTCGTCGGTACAGTGAGTCTCCCCATATTTCGCCCTCTGTTGAGGTGTAAAGAGCACACGCTAACGGAGCCCCAGCAGTTGGCCGCCATGCAAGAGACCCTATCACAGCTCAGTGCGCTGAACGAAGACGTCATGGCCGAGAGCGAGCGCACGGCCCAGAGACTCACGGAACGGGATTAGAACTTCTTGCTCTGGTGGGAGATGATGGTGTGGGGTGACGAGGATGCAGGCGAGTTTGCAGACGGCAGTAAGCGTGTGAGATTCGAGGTCGAGGAGTGCAAGGGCCTGGTGTGATTTCAGTACTAGTGTTGCATCTTAGCCGCAGGTTGCGTATACCCACTCAATGCATTTGTTGTCGTTCGCGAATGGGCGCGTTGGTGTGATTGATCACGTGATTGGTTTCTAGATACGGTGTCCATCTTACTTTAACGTTCTGAGGAATACACTGCTCGTTTTACTTAGCAAGCTTAATCGTCGAATATTCGCTGCGATGATGTTGATTCAGACTTCAAATGATTGGCAGTGCGTGCTGTGTGGGGCCAAGATCTTCGATAAGGCTACCTCACGCGTCGCTCGTCCATCGTCTTTCCACCACTCAACTCAGGCAGCAAACGCCACTTCGCTAGACGTTGTAACGCACATCGCCATGCGTTGAATGCGACTTCCCGATCCAGCTCACCACCTTCTACTTGCGGCCCGCCCAAGCTCGTGAACACGATGATGACACGGCGGGACGCAATGCGAAACGCGATCCGAGCCGCTGAACATCATCCACCATGTCAAGATGGCCGGAACAATATCATAAGGGCCAATACTGAACGCTCTGTCGTCTGCTGCAATGCGTCGCCTGTCTCTTGACTCATGTCAGGGCGCATGTAATCCGGTGACTCGATCGGGTAATCAGGTCACACCGACGTTGTCGTCCGTCACACTTTCTCAGTGCAGGCTGCTACACAATGAGGCTGAACTACTACTTCGGGGCACTACTGCGAAGCCTTGAAGCCTGTGTTAATCGTCATTGGACACGCTTCGCAATAGGTAGGCAGGAACGGCATGGCAATTCGCGCCCCTGCATGTGGCTGCTGAGCTGCATGTAAAGCCGAGGCCGCCCTGCACAGGTGCTTGATCTCGACTCTCCCCAGTAGCAATGAGAACTCACACAATACCTTGGTAATTATGGGCAAGATCAGCTTTGATCAGTGCGCCATACGGTACAGAGACAATGCAACCCTTCAGTCGCTCTGGGGCTGGAATGGAACCCTAGTCGGCATCGAGCGCAACCACACCACCCTGATCTCAAGCGCAGGCTGTATCCATGTTTGCGGCAGTGGAACGGACTACTATCCATGGGCGGACGTGTCACAGACAATCACAACGTGGATCCTGCCCGTCGTTGGCACCCTCCTCCAGGCCCCGTTCGAAAGCAACGCGGCAAAGCGCACATTCCTCGCAATCACACGATGGGTCGGGTCGCCCATCGCCTCTCTCAGCTACGTGCTATGGAATATCAAGGTGTCTGCGAAGGCGGCGTTGATGGTTGACATGGCTGTCAAGTATGGCGAGACGCCAGACCTCGAGTCGGATTTCGGAAGCATGCGCGACTCGATGTATCTGCTGCTGGCGATGAACCAGTATACGCTCAAGGACGAGGTAGTTTCGAGCTCGAAAGAGGCCGAGGGCTTGTTGCGCATTGTGCTGTTCAGCAAGGACTTGAAGCTGACGGATACGAACAAGTCGCTCCGCGAGATGAGGCGGATTCTGACTCGTGAATTGCGGGAAATGCGTAGACGCGGCGCTGTGCCAGGTATCTTGCCACTACACACATACAAAGATGCACACAGCTGACGCGATGATAGTGTTCGTGTCAACGATGTGGTTCCTCTTCGCCTTCGCCCTCTCCATCCAAGCCGCCTTTGGAGATCTGGGGCAAAACACTACCGCTCACGACCTCGCACTTGGCTGTCTGCTTGCCTGGTTCCCCGTACTGATCATGGGCTCGATCGTAGACCGCAATCCTATTGCTGCAGACGCCATCCGTGTCAAACTCAACACGTTGGTGGATCACGTGCGCCACGCGCTCAGGAACGAACAGCGTCGCGCCGCCTTCATCAACTCTTTCGGCGACCAGCCCAACTTCAACGAGCTCAAGGCCGAGGTGGACCATCTCGCGACGCTTTCGACCGGCGAGGACCTCAAGCACTTCTTCCAGGAGTTCGCCGGCCAGGCACGTGTACGGTGGCACTACGGCGCAGCCCATCCCATACTCTCGGACATCGAGAACTGCTACATCGCCGCGAAAGGACGGAACTGGCTCGCGAACGAGGCGGAAGCGCGCGCGAGTCTTGTCACAGGGCGCAGCAACGACGAGGGGCTTGTGTGGTTCGACGTCCGCGAGTTCTGGCAGATCGCTAGCGCCGTGATCATTGTTGGGGGAAGTTGCGGCGGCGCTTTCATCCTCAGCTACTTCACCCCGACGGTTGGCCTTGGATGTCGTAGCGGCGGGTATACCATCTTCTTCTGCGTTTCCCTCGGCCTTCTCATCATGGAAATGCTGGTCTGGCTGGTACTGTCGCCGTACAAGATCGACAAGTGGCCATGGATTGCTCGTGCTGAAGGACGGTTGAGCAGCAACGCGACTTTCAACGACTGGGGCAACAGCACCCACAATAGCTGGGTCAAGCTGAAAAGGCAGGCCTCGAGCTTCTGGCTGAACACGGAGAACTTGGTCATCAACACCCTCGTGCGCATCGCCCTTCTTATCCCCTGGAAAAGTAAGACTGCGGTCAAACGAGAGGTCGAAGACTACTTGGAAGACTTGGCCAGACGGCGTCGCATCATGCCCTCGCAGAGGCGATGGGAGCTCTTTTTCTTTCGGCCCTTGGAGATATTCAATGCTATCTGGCTGGTGTACATTGTGCTGGCACAGACGTTCGGATGGTACGTAGGTGCCTGTCTCATCACACTCGTGCAGTCCAAACAAGCGCTCGCGTGCTGGCATTCCCGTTGATCACTGACACCAGCCAGGTACAAGACCTGCCATTGCGTCACTAGCACTTGGGCCGGCCGCGGCGGCTATCTCGACTTCGGCGTACAAGACACGTCCAACAGCAAGTGGGTGTTGTACTACTGGACAACCGGAACCCTACTCACCGCGACCGTCATGTTTCTGTCCATGTTCTACATCACAGTGGAGTGGTGCCAGCAGTCCTTCCTATCCACCGAGGACTACGACGACGCCATGCAAGGCCTGAGAAGGACGCGGTCCTACCGACACTACACATACTTCGTCCGCGTGATGGCGCGCTTCATCGCGCAGTACACGCTGCAACCGCTAGAGTGGGTGTCGTACAAAGTCGGCCTCATCAAGACGATGCAGGACACGCTGTTCTGGACCAAAGAGCACGACTGGGACCCCGCAGTCCGCCAACGGCCGCGACGAAGCGACGTCGTCACACCCACCTTCGCGTACACAGACATGTCCGAGATCCCCCTCGCTGCTATCAAAGCAACAGAAACACCCGTCCTGGCGCACTCTCTGTTCCCGCCCGCCATTCCCCCCGGTCGTCAGCGCACTGAGAGCGATACCTCGACCCGGCCCCCTTACCGGCCCGAGTACCAATACAGGGCCAGCGACGACTCGTACGCGCCCCTGATCCAGCGGCCGTCGGAAGCGCATACGGGCCAGCGCACAGACTCGCTGTCCAGCGACGAACACCGCGTCAGCAGCGACCAGGCCATCTTGCCGTCGTCTTCGGCCCACGAGCAGCCGCCGTTCGCGGGATGGCTGGGGCTGAGTGCTGCGCTGCAGCCGCACCACATTCACAGGAGGGCTAATTCGGATCCTGGGAGTCCGCCATTCGATTTACCGCCGCCGAACCAGGATCCGCTGGGGATACATATGGAGGCCGATCTCGAGAGGGGAACGCGTTGAATAAGATGCTTCTTTGCTATCAGCTAGTAAAGGATGGAATACGTCACATCTCTATGAGAACCTTGTCCTCCTTGTTCACAATGCGTAACGGAGCATTGCGGCTCTTGACCGTCGCCTTGGTCACGATGCCCGCGTCATCCCACTCAAAGTCAACCGAACCGCCACCCCTCAGTGCAAGGCCTCTGACATTCCCACCAGCCCAAGCCACCGGGATCGCAGGACCGAGGACCACAGTTCTAGTCTTCCTGTCACCAAACGCGCTGGGCAAGTCGACAACGAGCATACTGAGCACAGCCCCGCCGAGGCCATAGTTCGCATCGATCTGGAACGGCGTGTTGGTGCCAGAGTACATGGAGAAGCCATTGGCGACAAAGTTGGTGTCGATTGCGTAGCGCAGCTCGAAGTGCGCTCGCTCGGTGTTGTTGAGCCGGGCCCAGCACGCCGACCGCCAGACCTTGGCCCAGCCTGCGTTTGCATCCGGGCCGGTGCCTTCGCCGCGGCTGTACAGCTTTTGCGCGACAGCGTCCTGGATCGTGGCGTTGCTGTAGCCACCCTGGAAGGACGAAAGGCTGGCGCCTGGATGCCAGCCCACGAGCTCGGAGAGGTGGCGATGCGTGTCGTTGATGAAGTCGTAGCCGAAAGAGTCGGGCAACTTCCACTCCTTGATCTGGCCCCATTCGCCGATGTGGAAGCCCTTGTCCAGCTTGGTGAGCGAGCTGGTCACGTTCGCCACGAAGGCTTCGTCGCCTTCGCCGGCTGCGGATTCCATCGAGAGGATGGCTTCGAACACTTGATGAACCAGTTGCTGGTAATGCACGCACCCGAATGTCGTCGGCCCATGCTCGGGACTGCTGCAAGGATTGACGACCAGCGTTCCGTCCTTCGAGAACTCATCGACCTGCAGCTGGCTCAGCCAGAACTCAGCAACACCCTTCAACATGGGGTAGCCTTGGGCTCGCAACCACTCCTCATCCTGGGAGTAGTCCCAGTGGTCGAAAACATGTTGCATCATCCAAGCAGCAGCGGCGGGGTAATGTGCCCAGGACTCTCCGCTCTTCATCCCGGTATGCCCGAATATATTCATCTCGTTGTGGACTACCCAGCCTGGCGCGGCGTAAAGCAACTTCGCCGTTTCCTGACCGCGCGGAATCCAGTTTTCGGCCATGTAGTCCCACAACGGCGACTGCAAGTCCGTCAGCCCGGTCTGATCGGGCGTCCACTTTGAGTTTATTAGCTATTGCAAGTCAAGAGGTTTTGGAAAGGCTTACATGGTTCATTTGCAGGTTTATGTTTGCGTGGTAGTCGCCTGACCATGCAGCGCCGAGACCTTCGCTCCATCGTCCCTGAAGATTGGGCGGGAGGGAGCCGGGGCGGGAGGCTGAGATGAACAGGTAGTTCGCATAGTCGAACAAGAGACTCTCCAGGAAAGGGTTGCCGACGGTATCATTCGAGTTGTAGCGTGCGATGAGCTCGGATGTCGGAGTGTCTGCAGAGTTCAGATGGTCGGGGAGTGAGAGTGAAAAGCGGCCGGTAAAAGATGTGAAGTCTTTGACGTGACTCTTTTGTAGCGAGTCAAAAGTCTTTGCAGCAGCGGCTCGTGTGGTAGCTTCAACACTCGGTCCTGGATCCTCGCCTTTGAAAGAGTAGTCAAACTCCGCGGTGCCCTTCTTGGGGTCGTAATTCGTTCCTGCTCCGACAACGATAGCGATACTCTTTGTACCATTCCCGCTCGCGATGCTGAGAGTACCGCTCTGACAGGTCGTTTGGACATGCGAGCCAGACACAACGCGCGCAATCGAATCGTAACGCATACCTTCCGGCAGACCGAGCTGAGTCACACCTTGCAGGCGCACATGGGCCGTGTCGTTCCGATAGGCTTGTCCATCAAAGCAAGTAACGTTCTGCAGCTCCGGCTCAACGAGATCATTGTCAAGACGCACTTCCAGCGGCGGTAGACGCTTCGACGATTGAATCGCATACACGCAAACCTGCTCCGGAAACGAGCAAAACGCACTAGTCTGCACTTTCTGTCCATCAACGTGGAACGTTGTCGTATGCACGCCTTCCACCAGATCCAAGCTCCGCTTATACCCCGTCACAGGCGCATTCCGGCCCGCAAGCTCTGGGATCGTGATGCTGAGGTTCCCCAAGACGCGATAGCTCCCGTAGAATCGATCATCGCCCAATAACGCCGTTACATTCCCCGTGCCGTTCGTGAATATCCAGTCTCGGATCCCTGTCAGATTGCCAGAAACGGCGGAGAGCGGATTGCCGCCCGTGTAGTTGGATACTTCGAAGGGACCGCCGGACCAGAGGGTATCGACGTTGAGCGTGAGGATCTCAGCGAGCGGAAGTCCGTGGTGCAGGGCGCCGAGACGCCCGTTGCCGAGAGGATACGCGGTGCGAATTGTGTCACCGCTGTCTGCAGGGCCGATGGACCATAACGATTTGGCTTGTGCAAGGGGGAGAATGAGAAGAGAAAGCCACAAGGGCTTCCACGACTGTTTCGCCATCTTGCTATCAGTAGCCAGCTCGATAGCCTTGCGAGATTGAGCCGCGTACCGTCTTTTATCACTCTGCACACATATATTGCGCAATATCATCCAGGAACGCGCTCGCTACGGTGCGGGGTAACGTGATCCTATCCGGGAGTACCGCATCGTGGGAAGACTCTGGGCTGGGGTGTTATGCGGGGGAGTATACAACGGTTGCCTCTTTGGGAACGGGCATGATGACCGCCGTAGAGATTTTCCGCCTCGGTGCTGAAATTATCCGGACGCGCGATGGACATCTGGCCTGGGTAATTATGGGCTGATTGGGGAGATTGCTGGGTAATTGGAGGTGGATGTTAACTGTTGGTGTCCCGCTTCTGGTGGAGAGATGGACGAGGTTGCATTGCCCGTTGAGTGGCGGGAAGGAGCAACAGCTGTTGAGCCGTTGCGCGAGCCATCAGGTTTGCAACTTCCTGCAGATGCGATCCCACGTGCTTGCCCATGGAAACTACGTTCGGAAGTCCGTCTTCACCTCAAATAGTCACAGTCACACGCCGGGTTGGCGCACGACAACAGAGTACCTAGGTGTTGTATATAGCAACACAGAGCGTTTAAGGAAGTCCTCTATAATCTCTAAGGTAATTGAGCTTTGAAAAATAGTGTAACTAAGGTATCCGTTGACTGTTATTGCTGGCAGAAGTGACCATCGCTCACTCTGTTTTATAGAGTAAGCTACTTCAACAGGCGTGCCAACTCTACTCTAACCATACTTACAGTCGCTAGTCCTCTTGTTGCAAGCGCTCTCATTGATCGCAATGATTTACTCCGCCTTGTACTGTTGCATCCTCGCTCTGTACACCCTCTGGAGTGGCTCGCTTTGCTCAATCGCACGCTTTGTAGCCAGCTTCCTGCTGTAGTGAAGCTTCTCCAAAGCCCGCCACACTGTCGATAGAGAGCACTCCACGTCGTAATCGTTGTATAAGCA